ACCCGGCCAGGACTCGCTCTGTTACGAGACGGCTGGCGAATCGATGCCGTCCACTTACCGCACACGTTACAGCATCGCTGCAAAGCCCTCGCCGCCTGAGTGGGAAGCGTTACCAAGTCACTCGGAATAAAATTGCCACTAAATGCTGTTTGGGGGGGTGGAAAAGAAAAAAAAAGCAAACCCTCGCTCTCTCTTAGGCATTGTACAAAATGAAAACGGCTATTGCTGCCTGGTAGAGAGTCCAATTACAAATAATGTGCATCCTCTCCCTGCACAAAGGATGAAAGGCATCAGAGCTGGTGGTGACATTTTAAGACAGGAGATGTAAGAGCGAATCCAAGCTCGTTGCAAGCCCAGCTTTACCCCAATAAAGAAACACTTTCTGCAGTCAATTGCCTTGCAGCATAGCTTGAAGCCCCGCTATTGATCTAGCATCTGTTATAAGCAGATAATCATCGTCACTGTGCCGTGGCTTCTATGACAGGATCTAAAAGCACTTTCCAGAAGATGGTTGAGGGCTGTTTTTCTGCTCTCACCTGCGCTTGCAGGCAGGCAGAGGTTTGCGGGGGAGCCCACAAAACTCTCGCAGGTTTGCAGAATTTGAAGGCCAGAAAAAAAGAAAACAAATCAATCCGACTCATTCATTTCCCAACCCTGCAAACTTCAGCTAACGGAGGTGTACTCCCCACGAGACTCTGCCTGCCACTCCAGCCCCAGCCCTTGCACAGCCATTTCATACCCTGTAATTTCCTTTTCCCAGCAAGGTGCTAACACACCGCCATCAAGCCACCGCTCAATCCTTCCCTTCTGCAAGACAGACAGCGAGAGCTGCTGAAATCCCCCAGCATCAGGCAGTTTTCTCCTGTCCCCAAAAGGTTTCTTGGAGCTTGACTCACTGAGGTCTGAATCCCGACAGCTCCCGACCACTTCCCAGCAGCGTGGGGAAGTTTTGGGCCAGGTACCTTCCTCCAAGTTTAGCAAGAACTGGTCAAAGGTAGATGAAACCGGGCTTCCAGCGCCTGCAAACTCCCCCCTCCCCACCGGCACAAGCACTTCTTATCCACTTGGCAGATTCCTTCAGTCTCCAAAGAAGGAGAAAAGGATGGGAAATTAAAAATAAATGAACCAAGAGATACACATCCATCAGGAGCCAGGCGTTGTCAGCCCAGGTCCCTGTGCAACTACTTTAATCAAAACCTCATGCAGTTTAAACTCTTGACAGAAGTTTAAAACAGAGATCTTGTAACGCTAAACTGGAAAAGCTGCAACCTTGTACAATAAAATCACGTTTCTCTGATGGGATCTATTTTCTTTAAAATCATGCTAAATTACGCTAAGCCTGTTCCTAACCATGACATCTGAGGTTTCACCCTGCAGATTCCTGCAGGATGCATGGGTGTCTCGAGGTGGTCACCGGAGGTGACAGGAGGAGCAAGCTCTCGGGTGGCAGCTGAAGATGTGCCATTTCTAAATCAGTCCGTGACGCCAGCCGTAAATTTTTAAGACACTCAAATCAAGAAAAGGATTGCTGATGGATGCGCTCCCCACTTGAAACTCACTTGCATGGTGACAGACGTCAGACTACCTGGCTCACGGCTATGCCACTTGCTTGTTTGCTATTGAGAGTGTCAGAAACCTTCCAGCTTTCTAGAACCTCCCCATGTGCCAAGGCTCAGCGAGCTCTGTAAAGCCTTCCGCATGCAGGTTATCTGCGTCTCCTGGCTTGAAAATGTTTGTCCCCAAGGAGCTGTTATTTAATACCTTCCTTAGTTACCAAGGGATGGGAAGTTTCTCCCATCTTTCTGCGGCTTTCCAAACACAGATGGGATTTATTGAAGTTTCTGCTGCTTTGACCTCATTAACGTTTTACAGCACAGCTCCAACGATGTGCCTACTCCTCGACGGGTGCCCCTCTACAGCCCCACAGCGGTACAGGTCTCCCAGCTACGTCAAACATCCTTGGGGAGTTTTAAGTGACTTCATCCCCAAAATGGCTCTGCTGTTGCCTTTCGGGACCTCGCCTGCGCCCTGCCTCATGTGGGACCACAGCTCGCAGCAGCTCTTTTCATAACAGCCACGGCGGGTGGGAAAGCAGAGACAGCATGAGGAGGAGAGAGGAAAAAAAAAAAAAGGAAAAAACCCCAGAGAATAGTGCAGGAACACATCCAAGCTGTGCCATAACCAGGGGGCCACCTGGGGACAGGTGGGATTTTAATTGGCATGGAGAAGGGGAAGCAGAAGAGGGGGCGCGAGCCCTGGGTTTGGTGGGGAAACGCAGCGGGTGACCCTGGGGTGACACTCATGGTACGCCCTGGCACATGCTTGCAGGGAGGAAGCTGGGAATCGGGAGTCCTGAGGCTGTTCTTGGAGAGCTTTTCTCCCCTGCGGAGAACAGGAGGCAGCATCAGCATAGCACGGCTGGAGTCCTGCAAATTGCCCCACTTAGGCTCTGGTCCTCTAAATTGCTCTCTTAACCAAAGTACATAAATCGACCTGATGAGCATCAGGGTTTTCTCCGGAGCCATGCTCCCCCACAGCCTCCAGAGTTCATGCTTCGTCCCCAAAGCCTGCAGGTTTTGTCCCAAAGAAACATGCCTGGTGCTTACCAGGGCAAACGCCTCGCTATGCTCGTAGCCTCAAGATGTGCCTCTCCATCGGCCAAGCATGGCACGGAGCCGGGGTTTCCCCACCACATATTTATTCAGAGGCGCTGCACAGCAAGGACAACCCGGCGCCAAACTCTGCAAGAGGCAGACCTGGCCAGAGTTCAGCAAAAACGGGGAATTAAGACACTGAACTAAATCAACGCATCCCCACCCAATTTCTACCCAAATCAGGAATTTCATGCACAGGAGGGTTTTTGACCAGGGTCCCACATTACTTATTAAGCACAGAGAGCAGAGAGTGCTTGGCACGGCACAGAAATCCACTCTTTGCACTAAAGCTCTTGCAAGCCCAAAGTAATTCAGATGCAGAAGCAATCTCAGCTGCCGGGAAGGAACTTGAAGAGCAAAACACAAAGGGAGCCTGTGCAGGGATACAGAGAAAGAAAGAAGAGCTGCTGGCTAGATGCAAGCAGGGGACACCGATCACATGGAAAAAAGGATGGAGCGGAGGTAAAGGAAGCAGGTCAGGGAAAATCCAAGGATGGCTGGGGCCGCTCCTGCTAAAATGCACCCGATAGCGGGGGCTTGCTCAGGGCTGCAGGTCCCACAGCCCCCCCCTGCAAGAGCCTTCCAGCAGTGCCTGCTGCGAGCCATACACCGGGACCGGCAGAGCCTGAAAACGCCAGGGAGATGCTCGGAGACCCGGGCAGAGCAAGCGTATGGACGGAGGCACCTGGACTGCGAGAGCCACCCGGCCCGTTACAGCCGGGAAAACATCTAGTGCCACGCTCACCTCCCCAGAGCTTGCCACCAACACACCAGCTCGGGTTGCTCACTGCAAACCCATGCAGAGATGCCTTCTGCTCCCAGGCACAGGCCCTGCACGTCTTGCTTGCAGTGCCACCTGCCGCCAACGGCAATGCTCTTCAGACACTGGAAGGGGACAACAGCAACGCAGAGCAATGAACTTCCTGCTGTTACATCAGCTTTCCCTGTCCTTTAACAGCAGCCAAACTCTTGATCCAAAAAGCAATGCTATTTCCCAAGCTGCAGGCGTCCCACAAGTCGCAGGCGTAGCAGCAGACGCTAATAAAGTACTTTTTTTTTCTTTCCCTTTTATGCAGTTTCTCGCTGGAGCCGGTCTCTCCCCCCAGAGACCACATCCTGAATCTTGTTCATTGATTCTTTATGCTAAATGATGACTCTGCAGTCGAAATAATGTGGCATATTCTAGTTTGCATTTCAGGCACCGTGAGACTTTTTAATAATGAGTTGCATGAAAAATTAGGGAGGCTGCAACAAAGAGCTCCGACGGAGGTTTCCAAAGTGACTCACAGCCAGGAGAGTCTCGCTTTTCCAAAGCCCAGCATGAGACAATCTCAAGAGCCCCCGCACTCAGAGAGAGCCGAGTCCTCCCCCTCTGAAAAAATAAGGCCTTTTTGAGGAGACTTCCCCAGGGTGAGAATCCCTGCAGGGAGGTTTGGCGGGCGGTTTTGGGAATCTTGGCTGAGGTGACATCCCGTTCCCATGAGCGCTCGCGGGGAGAAGGTTTCACCCCACACCTCAGCAGTGCTGCGGGATGGGAGTCACCTCGTCCTTCAGCCAGCCTGGGCTCCCCGCTCGGCACACTGGCTCTCCAACTCCCCAAAATGGGGCCAGCAACGATTCTTGCTGCTCTCGCAGGGAGGTAGCAAACCGCAGTGGCAAAGGGCAGCAAAGACTTTTCCAGTCTCGGCTCCCAAAGTGGTATCGCACCCAGCAGATGGTATAGCACCCACAGGGACAGCGAGCATCACCCGTGCACAGGTATCCCTGCTCCTGCTTGGGGCTGGCTTGCTGCCAGCTCTGCAGCTCTTTGCCAGACTTTGCAGCATGATGGAGGGGGAATTTCTTCAGGTTAACTTTTGGCTGGTTTTGCTTCCTACCATCCACATAACCAGCTGCCAACATATTTCAAGGGGAAGCAGCGGGCAACATATACAGCACAGCCCCCCACCGGGGGTTAATGCCATTTATGCTCAGTCCCAGTGGTGGCCAGTGCCTGGCTGCTGGGGTGGGAGGTATGGCAGGAGGCAGCTGAAAGATGGGTTTGATTGCTCTGCCCCCTCTCCCAAGCTCAGCTCCTAATTCCTTCTGCATCCCGTACGGGATCCCGCCTTCACCTCCTCTGTGACACCCATCACAGCTACCCCCAGCCCCAGGAGTTCTCTCTGCAGCACAGCTCCCTGCTCACCCACCTCTAACACCTAATAACTGAACACTGCTCTCCCCACCCAGCCCAGCAGACTTCCCCAAAAGAGGTTTTTCCTCCAACGCTGGCCAAAGGAGACCGCCCTGTAGCTGGCAAAGGAAGACAAAAAATGACAGGGTGGCTGGCGCGCAGGCAGCTCTTACCACATTCCAGAAGAGCGGGTTGAAGGCGATGGAGAGGACAGCCACAATGAAGCCAGAGTCGGTCACATCCACGTAGCCAAAGAGCCGTGCCATGGCTGTCACATCCACCTGGGGGGAAGAGCCAGTTACTGGGGGTGCGGGTTCCTGCAGGGGCACCGGGCATTGTACCCGAATACGGGGCACTTCACCTCAAACCAAACGCGTCAGCTGCCCTGCGAGAGCGGACAAATCTTTTAACGGCCCCGAGCAACACGCTGTGTTAGGGTGCAAAGCCAAGAAGAGGGGTGGGGGGTCCTCCAAGCTGTCTCCCCACACCTCGGGGGCACAGGGCTCTCGGGGAGCCGCACGTTTGCAGCAGTGCCCAGAAGGACACAGGCACTGCGAGGACACTGCTGCTGTGAGGACGAGAACCAGCGCTACGGGGCAGCTGCCAACCCAAGCGCATTTCCAAGCCGCAGGAAAGGGAGCACTGTTTCACAGCACCTCGGTGTCCCCAGGGACGGAGAACTGTCCCAGGGCTGCTGGTCTGCGTGGAGATGCCAAGCAATGGACTGTGTCAGCCTCAAACTTGCCTTCCCTAAAGTAAGGGTGATGCAACGCCCCTCCACAGTGAGGGGGGATGCATTTGCACTGTAAGAAGCTGCAAAAGACTTTCCTGTCTTACTTAACGACAACAACAACAAAAAGCCCTTAAAGCTCACTGTTCTTCCCCCTTTCTCCTTTTAAGAAAGAGATATTTTTCCCAGGACGGCTCCCTGACACTGTCAGCATTTTTACGTGCAATAAGCCATGCTGCTTCTCCCTCCCTGCCCCCTCTCCCAGCAGTGGTATTTGGATGAAAAACAGCCAGAGCCTTTCTTTTTTTTTTTTTTTTCCTAAAAAACTTTGAAAACAAAAGACAAAATAGCCCAGCCCAAGCCCTTCCCTCGCTTGAATCAGAATCAAGACAACATTGAGACGTGGAAGGTTTTTGCTTCCCAAACACAGCTGTGTTTGCAAGTCCTTCGGATGCCAGGGGACAGGAAAGGCTCAAAAAGGCATCGGCTCCACCTCGCCCCTCTGGGAGAGAAATTCCCACTGGCTCCTCATGGGTTCTTTGAAGGAATCAGAACTGCAGTGGGATTCATGGAGAGGGGCTGCTAAACCTGGCACCTCTTGTAGCCAAGAGCAGAGGCCCTGGCAACGGCTCCCGTGCTGTCCTGCCCCCAGTGCAAAGTGCACGAGCAAAGGCCGTACAGCCCCGGGGAAATGGGGGGAACCTTTCGGGGGTCCGCAGCTGCCTTCAAACCGCCCCAGCTCCCAGGAACTCCTCCATCCAAGCCCTCGGGATGCAGTTGCTGGCAAGGAACGAAGGGAACAGCCCCCAGGGCCTGATCCTGACCCATCTCCCCCTATTCCTACCCTTCCCGGCCTCTCCTCGCCTCCCTTCACCCCCAAGCAGCCCTTCACCATCAGACCTCGTCCCTTCAAACCGAGTGCTGTCAAGCCGTTAACCTGGGCACCCAGAGAACTGCTGGTGCTGGGGCCAAACTGTCTGGTCCCGCTTCAGTTGCAAACCCGTGGGACTAGGACAGCTTCTATCCTCTCGTTTCGTACAGAGCTGAGCACACTGCCAGCACGGGCTGAACAAAAGCTTCTTGACCTACTAACTCCCGGCTGGCAACATCGTTAACATTGCACTCACCTTCTTCTCTCCTCCTCAACAACCAAATTTGCCGCTGCCAGCGGGAGGCGGATTGGCCTGTGCCTAGTATGTGCTTTTAGGGATAAAAGAGGAGCCCCTTAGGATGAGGCGTCTCTGCAAGCTGCTGGGACAGCCAGGTAACAGGCACAGAACATTCAACTTTGCCCCCTCCTCCCCAACAGGGGATAAATAATGGTGGAAAACACTGCCCGCTTGCCTGCGACCCAAGGTCAGGGAGGGCAAGAACTGCACGGGCACTCGGGCAAGAGCTTCACGGGCACCCGAGAGCTGCATGGGCACCCAGGCAGGGTCTGCACAGGCACCCAGGGGAGAGCTACATGGGTACCTGGGTGTTAGCTGCATGGGCACCCAGGCAAGAGCTGCACAGGCACCCAGACAAGGTCTGCACAGGCACCCAGACAAGGTCTGCATGGACACCAGGGTGAGAGCTTCATGGGCACCCAGGCAAGAGCTGCACAGGCACCCAGACAGGGTCTGCACGGGCACCTGGGCATGGTCTGCACGGGCACCTGGGCGAGAGCTGCAGGGACACCGGGGCAAGAGCTGCACGGGCACCCAGACTGGGTCTGCAAGGGCACCCTGGTGAGAGCTGCACGGGCACCCAAGAGCTTCATGGGCACCCAGACAGGGTCTGCACCGGCACCCTGGTGGGAACGGCATGGGCACCCTGGTGGAAGCTGCATGGGCACCCAGACAGGGTCTGCACGGGCTGCACGGCCGAGCCGTGGGCTGCACCA